TTCATTCTTCCTATCCGTTCATTCGTGTCTGTCTCAGTTTCTCTCCCACCCTGACACTTTGTCCCTTCTTCCTTTCCCTGCCTCTCTGTCCCGTTCTGTTTATCTGTTGCCACACCCCTGTCTCCCTGGCTCTCTCTTCCTCCCTCTTTCATTCTCTTTCCTTTTGTCTTTGCCTCTCAACGTCAATCGCTTTGTGGCGCTCTCCGGCTAGTCTTCTCTTTCCCCTTTCTCTCTCTGTGTCGTGCCCCTTTCCGACATTTTATGATCGTCCATTGGGTTTCTTGCTCTTTCCCATGTCACATCTCCCTCCTGATCTCTCTCTCCCCCCTCCCCCCCGTCTTTTTCTTTTTCTCTCTCGCTCTTTTTCTCACTTTTGTCTCTCCGTCGCTCGTTTTCTTCCCCCCCCTCTCTCTCTATGGCCACTCTTTCTTGCGACTCTTGCTATCTTGATGTCCTTTCTCTTTCTCTCTGCCTCTCTCGAGGTTTACCATGTCTTTATCTCTCTCTCGTTTCTGCAACTCCGCTTGAAGTCTTTTGGTTGTGGCCCGGAGGGGCCTTAACATCACATATGTAATGATAGAAAAGGCAAACATGTCAGTTTTTTATTACGTGTGTGTTTGTGATTTTTACGGTATGTGTTTTGCTGTCTGATGTGGCTCATTGCATCAATTGTTCCTTGGTGGCTGTCTGTTTCAATAGGAAGAAGAGACAGAGCGTGCAGAACGGTGGGATCACTTCTTGACGTCGTACGTTGAGCCAGGATGTGAAGCTTCTCCTGCCAATGCGGAAAGAAACACGCTTGCGACCCACTCTCTTCCACGTGAGCTTGAGGCAAATGGGAGAATTGAGTCTGACAAGGCTAGAGAGAGCTCAGCAGACTCTCTTCCCAGCCCGGCAACACGTTCTGAAAGTGACGCAACTGCCTTGCAGTCTCCCTCAGCAGTGGGAAATGGAGGAGAGCCTGTTCGGTCGTGGTCAATGTGCCGGCGCTCACTTTGGGCAGTAGAGCAAGCACTGAGGCTTCAGGCGCGAAAGCATGGATTCGCTAATGTGCATGCAAGTGTTTCGTCTGAGTCGACGGAGGACGCTGGTCGTGCTGACGATAATGAGGCATGCGTCACGCCGACTACTACGGCTACCGAACATGAAGAGACGAAGAAGAAAAGGCACAGGAAGCCTACAACAAGTGATGCGGGTCTTCTCACAATAATGAGGCGCAAGTCCGGGACCGTCCTTCCTCTGGACGCCGTTTTGGTGGACGATCTGCAAACGGCATTCAGACAACAAGACAATCGGGCAGGGACACGTCATGGGATGCATGTGTATGATCGCTCTGTATCCTGCGTAAACGGTGGAGAAAGTATGCAGTTTGGACTGCTACGAACAGTGTCATTGCCACCGCTCAAAAGGGTCCCTTCTTCAGAGACTAAGCTAGTTATTGCTGTTGACACTGGTGATAATGCTGGGCTTGGGCAGCAGCTGCCAAGGCTGCAAGAGACCTCCGCAGCCTCAGAAGAGCTGCTGAATGCTGTGGCAACTGATAAGGATGAGAAGTCCGGTGCCGTGCAGCTGGAGGGTGATGCTGCGATTGTAAAACGAGAGTTGTTGAAGGACCGTTCTGCTTCTGACGAGTATGTCAAATCACTGGCCTCGGTCGATGTTGCTGAGGCTCCGGATGACAGTTCTGCTTCTGTAAATAAAAATGCATGGGAAGCAGTGTCCAAGGCCATCTGCAAAGATGTCACTTCTGGCGAAACCAGTGAGGGAAGTGAGAGGTTTGAGGATTGTGAAGAGAGTGATGGTGAATGTGCAGAAGTAGCAGAAAAGGGCGGTGAACATGTTACCTCGGACGGCACAGTTGGGTGTCCCAAAGAGCCATGGGAGAAAGTGGAGGCGAAGGTCGTCAAGTATGATACCGAGAGGGAGTCGGGTGGTGTTGAACCGCCCGCTGAACAAGAGATCAAGACAAGGTACCTTATAAGCTGTCTATCGGTCTCTATCCTGTCTATGTATTATTAGGACCCTACTTGGCTATGTTTCGCTGGAACGGACTGAATTTTCACCTAATTGTGTCCACTCTCTCTTGACCATGCTTGCGTACAAAACCGGAACCAACATTATCGGTTACTAATTCAACTTGTCACACTTTGTCACACATTCATGATGGTATCAGAATAGTGCTCCTTGAAACCAGAAAGTGAGCCATGAATTGAACAGCCCAGAAGGAGAGATCAGTATGCTTCTCTAATGTCCGGTGTCCAAAATAACGTCCGTAATGTGTGCAGTGTCAGAGTACAAATTCATGAGCCTGGCTCCGAGACTAC